AGCGTAACGCATGGAATAAAACCGTGATTTTCCGTGATGCCTGGCTTCCCTCCAGATTCCATGTACGGTTGATCGATCCGCGCTTTGAGAACGCAGCGTGTGTGTTACGATAGTAACTTCTCACATGGGAGTAATTAAACTTTCTCGCTCTTTGTACATATAATTCTCTTAGTGATACGGAGAGAGTTCACCTCCCTGATGCGACATACAAGTACTGCCCTGAAATCAGTAATACTGTCAGTAATAACTTCCTGATACGTAAAACCGCAATTTTTAAGGTAAACGTGAAGCTAACTGTTCCAAACGACTTGTATACATATATTTACGAGAAGAGATGCTCGTGGCATTTGGAAAGTACTGTCCGATAGTATCTCTGTTTCTTTTACAACAAAGCAAATGCAACAAGTATAAAACCGTATTATACGCAATCCGCCAAGTCACCTTCTTCCTGTTTATATCGACCGACTGTAAAAAGCGACTGTAATACTCGCGTAATGCTCTCGATATTGATTCCGCTATGTCATCTTCATCGAGATTCGCCACGAGTAATTTGCACAGTTAGAATTATTCATGAGTTAATTTTGTATGCCTCGCTAATCAAATGCGTCAACGCTTTTGCAACGAAACCACCGAGTTCGCGGCGTTCTCTGCCGCTCGAACGACATCGAGCTTCGCGGCATGGCGCGGGACGCGCGGCTGAAGAATTCGCGTATCGCGCCGCGCCGTCTAATGAGTCAACGAATTGATAGGACCTCCACCCTTCGCCACTGCCATATTTTCCCGATGGCCTGTTTGCCGAAGTTACACCGACGATACCCCGTCCCCGAGCCATCCCCGAACCAGCTCTCCCTTGCCATCGTTGCGAAAAGTATCCGATTGGAACACGGCGAGGGTTCAATCCTTCGTTACGTATGACGCATTGATGAAATTTGCACGGTGCCGCAGAGTTGCCCTGATGAACGACGCGACTCGTCATGGCGACAAATTATGGAGTGACTGCAGGCACCGCCGCGCGCGCCGCCGCTGTTCAGTCGGTTCGACTGTTGTACGAGGTATAACGAGCTGACTTTCGTGAGGGACCATATTAATGATCGCGTTGCTGAGAACGAAAACAACGAAACATCAGTTAATAAGTAAAGAACCGATCGGATAGCTCAATTGAAACTCTTCTCTGTAAATTCCCTATGTCTCGCGTCAGTTGAAGGATCTCATAAATTTTTTAAGATCTCGCTATCGGCGAGAATTCACCTTGCACTGATGTTGCTTGTATTTCTATGGGCTTAAGCGGGTTTTATGGGCAAAAAAAAAGTATGATTTGCATAGTACAACGTGACCTCAGAGAATTTCCAATTGTTATTTTATGTGACATTGTTTCATTAAGAATTTTTTATCATTCGAACATGCGTCCGTGTGTTCCTGCTTTATTATCCGATTACGATATTTTGCATTTAGGACACATATATACTGTGTAAGATACTATTAACATTATTAAATAATTATACAAGGATTTAACTAATCTGCGCAAGCTCACAAGTTTAGGTACAATTTTATTTGTACAATTATTTCCATTTTATTCCTTTTTCATTAAAATAGTTTTGATTTTTGTTTTTGTTTGCTTTGTTAATGTATTTAAGATCAGTACAAATTATCCTTTTAAAAAAAGCGTCAAGTATACGCGCAGTGTATGTTGTTAAACAATCCAAGTAGTAGTAGCTTTAATCCTCCTTAACAAAATTATAATATTACAGAGAATTATTTTAATCACAAAGAATTAAAGAGGTAACAGTACAAAATAAAAATATTTAATTAAAATAAAATAAATTTTTTTTGTAAAAATCTTGGCGCTGCTAGACCTTGTTTAATAAAGTACTAAAATTTTTAATTGAATAAAAAAACGATAAATAATTTAGGGAAGAATAACGGAGAGTAAAAAAGCAGCGCCAAGTTTTTTGACAAAAAAAAATTCATTTAAAATAAATTAAAATAAAATATTTCAATTAAATATTTTCATTTTGTACTGCTATCTCTTTAATTCTTTGTAATTAAAATGATTCTTTGTAATATTATCCTACATATCACTTATGTTGAATAAGGTATCGAAATTTTATGATATAATAATTTTGTTAAGAAAAATTAAAGTTATACTATTACTTGGATTATTTAATAACATACACTGCGCGTGTATTTGGTGTTGTACTTTTTTACCTGTTTTAAAAAGGTAATTGCTGGTATCATGCATTTTGTAATGTTAATCCTCCACTGCCCTCGTTCACCAAACGAGCGTCTGCAGTGCCCTCGTGTTAGCGCGTGCTGCACCACGCTTATATATTTGTCACTTGTATTAGTGTACGTGTGATATTGCCACATAGTTTCTCAGATCAAATGTCACTAACATTCGTTAACATTCGTACGATCGAGCCGCACGCTGTCACGAGGCAAGGTGCGAAAACACGCGCATATTCTCTCTTTCACGCTGATCTCTTCTTACAACTTAAGGCTACTTATTATTCTTATTTCTAACCACGCTTAATTTTCCCGCACTAATTTATTCTAACCAGTTACGGCTACTTTAATAGCATAGTCTCCGCAAAAAATACTTGCTCTGCAAGCCGATCGTCGATTTTATGATTTCCGCGAATTACGTATGGCGCCATTTATTCAAGAGCCGGAAAATTTTTATTTCCGACGTTATCTTGTTAAACGAAAAAGATTCCAGATGACCGTTATTCGAGACGAGCGCGTGGCAAGGTGATACGCTTTAACTTGGTATTCGGTGCAATTCATGAATGCCATCGATTAACTGTAATATAAAACCGTCGAAAAAAACCGTACAATGCAAAACTATATATAGAATAACTCGGCTGGAAATGCCCGGGATCTATCATCGTAGCCCGACATTAAAGCGGACACACACAAAGATATCAAGAAACAGTCGTGATGCCGTTTCATGAGACATGTCTGTCTCATCGTGTGTAAGTACGTCTCCGAAGGTTTCACGCGGTATCAATAAGTATCGACACATGACACATGAATCTAGTCTCCCGTTGTCGATGGAATACATGGAGACCGAAACAATGATACTGACATATGCCACAGCTTGTTTTCGAGTTTGTAGGGTAAATCGAATAAACCTACTCGGAACTTGATCGGTTCAGTCGTTATTGAGATCTCAAAATCTCGGATACTCGCAATTCTCGTCCTCGCGTGAAGATACACGGTCTATCTCGCTGCGCGTATACTCGGCGCGAGACATTATCGTGTCTCTCGATAACTGTCTCTCTTTGAATACACGTTCTACTTACACAACTTACACCGTGTTATTATATGACAGCGTTGCAAGTACAAAGTTACGAAAATTCATACGACTATACGAGTGTTAAACGAATGCCAAGCGATGTGATCAAAGTTTACTTTAACACGATGATGTCGCAGGATATTAAACTGAACTGTTGTCATATACTGCAACGTAGTTCTCTGCGCTAACTTTATACACAAATTCAGCCGCTTCATGTTAGTTTCTGGAGAAACTAATTGCTTTGCGTGGCGCAAGCTCTTTTGTAGCTCTGTTGAAAACAAAACCGTTAAAACATGTGCAATAATTAGACCTGAAGAATAAAAATGTTCGCATAGTTTATTAGTATACCTATATAAGTTATAATAATGCTTCCGTGCACATCTCAGTTACATTCAGTCTTTCACGCTTTTAGTTTTAAGATATCAGATAAAGGGATTAGTAGAAAAATTAATAATTGAATAACATAAAGTCTTGAGATTAATATTTTCCATCCTACAACATCGCAAGAGCATAACGTGATACTTCGGGATAATCGGGAGCTTCAATATTGTAACGAAAGCTGAATGGCAAGTAAAACAGCGGGCATAAAGAATTTGTTTTTGTACATTTACACCGTTATCTTCGTCGTTATTTAAGCCTCTCCTACGAAATCCCATTCCTTAAACGTATGCATGACTCTCGACCGATTCGAGCCTGTTAACATATAAATTGCCGCTTAACGGCGAGACAATCAGTTTCGCAGGAACTCTTGGGAAGAGAGCGACGACGGAGACGAAGATGGACACCGAGCGCGAGGGTAAACGAGACAATACGTGGAAAAGACAAAAACAGAAAGAGATAAAAAGAGAGAGAGAGAGAAAGCAACGAGAAGGGACGATGGGAGACGAGGTCACCCCCGAAAGTAACGGAAGAGAGGGCGGGAACGGCGGAAAAGACAGAGCGCGCGGCGGAGAACGTGGCGGGAGGGTAGAGAAAGGGGGAGGAAGGGGACGCCGTCGAAGAGACAGAAACGAGGGGAAAGGTGGCATTCAATTCAATTTTCTAAGAAACTCTTTAGTGTTTGAGATACAGCCGCCGAAAGGATGCGCGCGAGGTTAGATATGTGGTGGAGATGGTGGGTGCGATCGCGGTAGGGGATGGAAGACAGATAAACGGGGCGACCGGGGGGGGCGGGGAGGGGTGGGGAGGGGAGGGGTTGGAGGTAGAGCTGGATAGGTGGGATAGAGAGAAATCCTGAGGATGGATGGGAGCACGATCGTTTACCGCGCGCGAAAGGAAGAAGGAAGAGAGGAGACGGCGACACGCCACACGCGGGCAGGACGGAGCGAGTGACGGAAAAACTGTAATAGTGAGTGAGTCAGAAGACAACTACAGCGATAGAGGGCTGCATAAAAGAGAAAGAAGTTTCTCGTGTGAGTACGGGGGCGGGAATAAGAGGGTGAGAGAGAGTGGAAGAGAGAGAGAGGGGGGGCGGGAAGGGACGGATTGATATCGCCGAAAGAGAAGGTAGACGGTGAGCCGAGAACGAGGGGGCAGGGAGCTACGAGCGAGAACGTGGACGGAAGAACGCGGGATAAACGGAGATACGGGACGGGAGAGAGAGACTGACTAACTGACTGTGGCCGTTAGGGGGCGAAGGGGAATAAGGATTCTGTGCGCGGGCGCGAAGCTGGCGCAAACTCTTCGTGCAGCATCCCTCGTCAGTTGCAAGTCAGGAACTATCGCGGCCGCGTGGTACCCGCGCCGCCGTGTCGCCACAGTCTTGCCGATTTCGAGCGCTTTCGCGGTTTCCGGCTGATCGACGCGCGAACGATACCAGAGAAACTCGTCACTTACTCGCGAACTCTCCCGATCTCGCGTTCGCCCGATGTTGTCGCGCGTCCGCGCGTCTTCGCGTTTCTGTACGCGCGAGTAGATCCCCCTTTTCTTTTTTTTATGGAAAATCGCGGAAACGGAAACGTCGTGGTACCGATCAGCGAGCGGGGATATATGTAGACAAGAAGCGTGAGACGCGCGCGCGTTACAGTGACACACGGAGGATTCTTCACGGCAGGATGGATAAAGACTTTCGCCGGAAATATAAAAAAATGCGATGTGGTCTGCTTCACCTGCTGCTGATAGTGGGGGGTAAGTTTTATTGTACAGTGTTAAGTGTAAGCAAGAAGGGGAAGGAGGAGTTTCCCCGAGTGATTTGGATGCCTCGCCGATTACCGCGCCGCGGCCGGCGAAGCGCGTTCTCCATCGGCTTCTAATAATCTTCGAACGGAAGAACCATTGAAGTGAATCTTCCATTGCTCTTTCGCCCGTTGATACGAAAGTAACGGCGGGTGCGGGGGAGGGGGGGAAACGTGTTTCTTCGGCTAGTGTTCATTTCGAAGGCGGTCCTCTTTACTTTAAACAACACTCTACCTATAGAAGAGGATGATCTTTGATGAAGGTTCTGCAGCACTTAGCGGTTCTATCAGCTTCAGTTTATATTGCTGGAGGATGTAGGGTATACATAGCGACGGGGAAAGGATAATGTTCGCTCTTCCGTATTGCGCCAAGAAGGAGAGACGTAAAACGGTTAAGTTCCCACTAAGTTGAGCCTGCGAAGAGTCGTTAAAGGAGTCATTGGAACCTTCCGACCTTCTACGCGCCTTCTCCGGCTTGGCTTCACGAAGTTCCGAGATCCGCTGATCCGGGAAAGAGGACGCGGGATACGCGTTTCTTGGAGAATGGGCGATCGTTTGCAGCCGCTCTACGATCGGCACGAACGACATCGTTACAGTCAAGTTCGGCTCGCGAGTTAGATCACGTCGGGATTGTAATCGATGCTTTCACTCGCCGATGCATTCTTCGATATTACTACTGCGATTCGCGTTAGGTACTGAGAGTGCTTAAAGATATCGCGGCTATTACTCGCGCCAAACTTTATGAACGAATAAAGAACGGTTTAAATTCTTCCTCTACACAGGCTATAAATAACATTTAATTGATCATATCTGTTTGCGCTCCTCTTAAACGGACCGAAGTATATTGTACGCCCGGAAAACTGGAAAAGAGTGCAATGCGAATGTTTTGCTCTGATTCACAGAATCTTGGACGTATGCCATTTTGCCGCGAGGAGGGGGGGGGGTGACTCTTATGGAATAACAGTTTTGATATCGGCCTTGTTATATAGACGAGCTCACTAAAGTTTGGTTTTACTTTGTCGAAGTAGGTCGCGAGCGCCTCGTAATGCTCATAGTTAGGAGATAGGCTGATGGTCCTCTTGCAGTCCTTCAACGTGAATCATTTTAAACGACTCTGTTTTCTGTTATCATTAAAATCAAGTATTTTTTTTGTAAAATTGCTGCGTACGACGATTATTATCATGTTTTTACATATATAAAGTAACGGCAAGTAAACAGAATTGGTAGCTCAGTCGGATTAAAGTTATAATTTCACGCTTCAGAGAAAGTACAATTCTGGTACGTAAGAGCGACTGCTACGTGACAATTAGAGAAGTTAGTAGAGAAGTTAGTAAATTGAAGTGAGTGCGGAAGTGAGTCGGTGAACGAGTTTTTAGACACGAACGGAGTGACGTATGCATTCGATGATGTAAAAAAACGTAACGGGCGAGGACTTCCAAAACAATTCGAGATATTAAAAAACCATTCCCGGTTTTCATATTTGCACAAATTTTAAAAGTTGTGTGTGCGCGTATGTGTATCTAGATTGACTAACTAAGTTTGAATCAAGCAAAAACGATCTACATGCTGAAAAATCAAACATGTTTTTTATCATGCTGCAAACAACTAGGTACACGGTACAATAATCTTTCGCGTTTTAAAAATGTTTAAATCCTATAAAAAATGAATACTATGATATATTTAACTAATATTTTTCCATTTCTTTTATCAATACTTTTATAAAATGGTAATTGCTTAGATTTTTTGAAATATCTAACACATATTAATACTTTTATAAATAGATGAAGAAATTTGTACATGTATATCGAAAGTTTAAGAAATTCCTAATTAAAAGAGTAATTAATAAATGACGTAAAAATACTTTTAAAATAATAAATCACTTTTATATTTCATCCTTTTGAAATCCCCGAAGGGCGGAGCCCATCGGATAACTCGCGATCTGTTGAAGACGGCGGCAAGTGAGAGGTGATTAATTTATAATATAATTGAGTCTTTATTCTCGTTCACCTTTGTCGTTATTACACAATTTATATAAATTTTTTAAAGATTCTGGCGCATACTAAAAACACCTTGAGACATTTGCTTATTCTTTTTATTCTGAGCTTTTAACATAACATTTATCTTCGTGCATTGCAGATTGAAGAAATTTTATAGACATGTCTTATAGTTTTTCGCTCCTCGAGCGAAATACACCCTGTGTTCTGAGAATTTTCGCGAAACAACATGCTATTCTCGCGTTGTAGAACTGGGTTGTTTCCGATGAGACAAATTCTCTCGACTGAATATTTGCCCTCCGCTGGACCGCTGCTTTTCCACACGATTGCGTCGTGCCACGAAAAGGCGAACGGATACGTGAGAATTCTTCGGTGAGAGAGACGGAGGAAGAAGAAAGTCGAGATAGAACAAATCGTGGCGAACGTGTACCGGAATGCAGACATATCCGAGATATACTCGCCTGCCTCGCCATCTTCTCGCAGATACTTTACCTCCGTGACGCAGCTTCCGTTTCTGCGAACACGTTCTAAACCCGCGTTCTCTCTTATTGGAAAAATACAACGTTCGGTACGTCGATGACGCGATTTATCTCCCTTTTTGGGCACGTCGCTTTTAGGGCAGAGATTTCTATACTCAACAATTTAGCGCACTACTGTTTAGTTCTATTATATTTATTTTACCGTGATAAAATCTTGTTTTATAAAGGCGTACCGTACTTTCTCATAATCGAGCTTTGCTTCCGGGAAAGAAGTAAGATCGCCGTGAGAACAGTATCCTAAGAAAATTTTCCTTTATTTCTATCTGATACTACTAATATTTTCGAAATGAGCGTGTTTGCTTCTGAGAGTGCACCATATTTTCAAATGCTTCTATAAACTCCGCTCACTCTGCGAACAGTTTCAGCATAAAACGTTTGTTATCTTTCACAACTTTATCTCTTGCTGTGCTTAGTTCTTCTCATGTTTTATTGCTATTGTTAAATATTTTTAAACGGGACGTACAATTTTGCGCTCGCGCACGTATAACATAGTCGATTAAATTTAAATTATTATCGTTAATTGTCCAAGTAAATTTACATCGATTGAAGCTATCACAAAAATCTGATACACTTATTATAATTCTCTAACCTATGCGAATGAAATTATATTCCTTTTCCTTCTCTAATAGCACTAAATTATACATCTTTGCAAATATTTATCATACATGGCGCTCGGCAGCGAGCTTTAATAAAATCAATCTTCACCGATCAACTGCAATATGTTCATTCATTTTCCAATGTAAATTTTGAAAGCTATTCGATGACAAGTACGAATTGATCTTCATCGGTCATCAGCTGCTAGGTTATTATTTGTTCAAATTTTTTAAACCATTTTTCCGCTGTCACTTCATCATGTTACGTTTGTAAAACGTCATTGGTATTTCCTCCACATTTAAGCTCACAGATTAAACATATACAAACATCTGTAATTGAAGTATCCATCTCTGGCGAATTTTTTAATAACTTTTTTATTTGATTTTTAATGGAGCTTTTATCATTTGCACAAGAATACGGTTGCATAATAATAGCATGATAATTTTTTCTAAAATATTATCAATTAAATTAGACATTGTCCATATCATGATTTACGTAAAATGTTAAATAATGCAAAATATTGAACGTCTCATAATATCATCGTCGACATTTTAAGAGTAATAAAGAATAATAATAGTAATAATACTCGTTCTTCCACAGATTCTTTCTACAGGGATATTACATTCCGAAACGTAACGGATTTAATTCATTTCGTGTAAAAACAGCGCTAAGAGAAAAGACTTTCAAGCCGCTTTGTTCTCGATTTCTTATTCAATAATGTGAGTCTCAATCTGCTAATTGCGCTTCTTTCTTAATTGATGGCCTTGTCTCTTAATCTCCTTATTAAAAATATATCAAAAGAAAAAAGAAGTAAACAAGAGAACGTATTAACAATTTTGGTTCCATATACTGAAGAAATTTGCTTCTGAAGGATATATAATCGATATCAGAACCTTTTCGCGCGAATAGAAAGGAACGTTTGAAGCGATCGCCTTTATTGATCGCGCGAATCAGCTAGCATTTGTAATTATTACATCTGTTGCGACTTAAGCACCGATGTCTTAACAAACTTGGCGCGCAATTCTGTCAGACATTACGTCTAATTACCTTATCAAATTAACCACCCTTTCCTTTATTCCACCTCGTAGCAACAGCTGCAGTTCGAGCGGCAGAAACATGGCTTGATGGCACGGATCAAATTTTGACCAATTACTTCCGCCAGCGTCGCTTTTATCGTTTACGACCGACACTAATAAACGGAAACTTGGAGGCGCTTGTTATTCGGGCACAAACTTTGGTCTTCGTTAACCAAATGTCCAAATTCAGTCCACATTCGAATAATAAACACGAAATATCTGCTCTTATCCTGTTCTTACGTACCGCGTAATTTCACGCGCGAAAATTTCTTTTCTTTTTTTTTGTCGTTTGAATTTAGTTTCGATGTCAATATTTAGAACGCTGAAAGCAAAATCGGATGAGAACGAGAAAGATCTCATTAAAACGAGGCACCTAATCCGGCATGGCATTACGAATCCGATAATGATCTTGCAAGTCAAACATTTTATTCACTCGCCGTACTTCGATTCATTCGGAAGACGTTGCCATTCTGATCTCCTCGACCGTCTCGAACGGGCTACAATTCGCAGCAGTAGACAGGCCGAAAGATTTCCTCGAGACACGGTATTGGAGATGTACCTTCTTTCCACTCTGTCTTCATTTTCTTCTTCCTTTCTTGTTTTTTTTTCCTTGCCCCGAGAATCGGAATGCAAAGGATGCAGAAATGAAGAGGGTACTTCCGTCCACAATTCGAAGACCTCATCGCCTTCCGCCTCAGCCCCGATTGTTCTGTCTTCGTCTCGTCACGGTCGTCGTTCTCCCTTTGTTCC